ATATGTGATGTTCAGTGAGAACTATAGCTTTTGAACAGTTAATAGTCTAGTACAGCTAGATTCAAATTTCTCAGAAGAAAACATTTTCAGAAGGATATATTAGATGGGTGTTTCATTTCTCTGCCCCCTCTCTCTATTTCTTTTTATCTCCCTCTTTCTTACACTCACTCATTCACTCAGCCACACATGCACACACATGCATACCACCTTTACATTACAAAACAATTCTCCACTGTCTGCGTGCACTATGCCAACAGCAAATTAAATAAAATGCAAATTAAAATAAAGAGAATGCTTTTCCCTGATGTCCATGGAACTATAATAATCAGAGACAGAAAATTGGGCACTAACAGGGTTGGAAACAGAGTTTTTAACCGTTGTGAATTTAGTTCTCTTTAAAAAGTTGTTATCTTTCCAACATTGTCTGCAATCTGCTGGTAAATTCCAAAGAGAACATGGCTAAAATTCACCTGTTCCCAGTTTGCATCCTATCATCTAAAATGGTTCTAAATTTGAATGTATGAGGATGTGCCCAGCAATGACTCTAATGAAAACATCTTTCTGAGGAAAGCATTCCAAAACTAGGGTATCATTACTGTAAAGACTCTTTTCCCTAAACTCATATTGCTTGGGGGACGGGACGGGACATACAAACATGAATTTTGAAGGATCCCATAAGATTTGAGTAGGTATATTTGAAGAGCCAATAGACCTGATTAAGACATATATTGCTTTAAAACTCAGACAGAACCATCTTTGAAGTGAGCACAGAAAGTCTATTCTGATTTTCATCACCATTTCCCACAGCCTGGTCCTAGTTGTGTATTCTATTTGAATGGAAATTATTTTGTGGTGACTGACAAATTTATTGGGTCATGCATGTGTTTTGTATAATAGACTGTTATTCTTAGTGTCTGAATGCATATTGGAATACATATCAAGCTATGTATCTCTGCCAGGAACCTTTGGACAACTCTATCTACCTTTATTAAAAAATAATTTCTTTTTCAAGCTCAACATTTACACCTTATGCAAATGTTCATTGTTAGTGCAGTCTCCAGAAGAGTCAACAACTTCACGGTTTATGGTATAATTTTATCTTTGCTGCTATGGATCAATGAACCTGCCAAGTTCAGTTTTGCTCAATTTACCCATTTTCCCAGTCTTAAGTGTTTTCTAATTTATTTCTAGCTCTGTCTGTATAATTTAAAAAAAAATCTATATGAATGGTTTTTTTCAGAGTTTTTGTGCATCTTTCTTGTAATATAGACTTTTTTAGTCCACATTTCTTTTATATTCACTTTTGTGAAGCACTTTTCCCAGCTACAACGCAGGGATGGGTTCCTGCCAGTTCTAACCTCTTCTATAGAAGAGGTTNAAGATGTTGGATAACCATTCATCTGAAGTGGTGTAGGGTTTCCTGCCTAAGCAGGGGGTTAACTAGAAAACCTCCAAGGTCCCTTCCAACTCTATTCTGTTCTGTTCTGTTCTGTTCTGTGAATGCATAAAATATCTTGTCAACTGTCTGACATCTTTTTCAACAGCCTGTTTTCCTTCCTGCGTCACTCACCTTGCTGAGTAGAGATGGTTCCTTTTGCACAAGGAATGCAATCATAGCAACAAACTGGCCATCCTCTCTGAACCACCATAAGGAATCCAGGACGGCATCTTTCCACACATCTGGAAGATGGCAGGGTCTAAGCAGAAAAGCAAGAAAAAAATGTGCTCATGTATGAACATTGAAAGATGGTTGTTGCTGATGGATGGTAAAAATGCAATAGAAGACATACTTCCATAAAGATATTTATTTTCTTCATTCAAATGTTCGCCTTATTCATGAAATATATTGCATTATAGCAATAGTACAGCCCTCTCTAAGCAGTTTACAGAGTCAGCCTATTGCCCCCAACAATCTGGGTCCTCATTTTAATGACCTCGGAAAGATGGAAGGCTGAGTCAACCTTGAGTCTGGTGGGATTTGAACTGCCAAACTGCAGGCAGCTGGCAGTCAGCAGAAGTAGCCTGCAGTACTGCACTCTAACCACTGCACCACCACAGCTTATAGAGTAAAGCTGAAAAGAGATCAGAAGACCTAGAGAACTCCGGACAAAGTCTTAAACTAATCATATGGTAGGAGAAAGGAAAGGAACTGACATGGAATGATTCTTCTTCCTCACCTGGTTGAACCATGTGAGCCATACCATGGCATCTTCATTAATGGTGAATTGGGGCTCCAAGGAATCTTGCTTTTCCATGCTCCCAAATCTCACGTTGACAATAGAATCATTAGGAAACTTCACCCAATGCAGGATGTCCAGGTCAGCTGCTAGTTCACCATTTTCATCCAAATATACTCCATCCATGGACATGTTATGAAACTGAGAATCTAGCAAGAAAGGATGAAGCTGGAACAGCAGAGAAGGAATTTGCATTTAGCAAAGGTGCACAATAGATTTATGTTGAGCAGCCCCACAAATCCCATAATGGGCTTTTAAAAAATTAATCTTGTTTATAAAGTAAAAGATAAATATACATTTTGAGGGGTCATTGGTGATCTCTGAGCTTGGTGATTTGCTTGCAGAAGTTTCATTACCCAACTAGATAACATGATGACAACAACCAAGGTCAAAGAACACCAAAGGGCTTCGCAGTTCATCTCTGACATACAGATCCTCACATGTATATAGTGGTACCTCACTACTCATTGTTAATTGGTTCCTGGAGATGCAATAAGTACCAAAAATGATGAGCACCAAACAAATTTCCCCCCATAAAGAATAATGTAATGAGTCATAAGGCATAAGTCCTAGCTTGTGTGTTGAGTACCAAACAGTGAATGAGTACCAGGATACTTTTAAAAATCAAATTCAAGGTGCTTGTTGTCATCTTTAAAGCCCTTCATGGCTTGGGACAAGGTTATCTGAGGGATTGCCTCTTGCTGGTCACATCTACCCAAGCCATTAGAGCAGGGAATCAGGGAATGCTGTGGGTCCCATCCCCAAGGGAGATCTACCTGGTGGGACCCAAAAGAAGGACCTTCTCCATGGTGGCCCCTTCTCTCTGGAACATCATCCCCCCAGAGATTAGAATGGCCCCCATTCTAATACTCTTCTGGAAGGTGCTGAAGACCTGTTCTGCCAGAGGGCTTGGGGAACCCAGAGCGGGCATGGAGCCCATTAAATGGCTCGCGTGATCTGCTGTCAATGGGGGTGGGGGAGGTTGGGGGATGATTTTATTGTATTAATTTATGTTTTTTTCTTAGTTTTATTGTTTTTTAATGTTGTTTTAAATTATGTAAGTTGCCATGGGCGAACAGCCGGCAATATAAATTTAATCAATAATAACAATAATAATTTTTGCATCAAAATGCATCAAGTACCAAATTCAATGAGTTTCAAAGCAGTTGAGTACCAAGGTACCACTGTATTTTAGAATAGATTTTGCTATAATACAAAATGAATGGTCTAAGGACTTATAAAATGGGATCTGTGGGCTTCTCCTGGCAAATTTCAATATTCTGTGACTCTTATCGGGGAGTAGTTGCTAGTCCCTCACATGAAATGTGTTGAAGAAGACTAGGGTACCATGAATTTGCTTTTTCAGCCGCTCCACGTTTTGTACACATTTTTTCTCAGGTGGAGGGTGCAGATAACCTTCTGGTCTTTAAGAACTCACCTCGACAAGGCAAATGGATGCTTGACCTAAGACAGACTTTTTATTTAGGGTATTATTTCTATGTCTACTATATATCATGGGTATTTATATACATATGATTATCTGGAACAATGTAAATTGCCTTGAGTCCTATGTAACAGACTATATTTGGAGAAATCAATAGATAACCCATTAATATATACATTTCTTTCTTTTTTTTCAGGATAATTTTTTTATTTTAAACACATCAACAAAAACAAACACATAACATTAAAAACAACATAGGAACAATAAGTTCCATCATATATCATACAGCAGTTTCGAATCGGTTTCTGTGTGTGTGTGTGTGTGTGTGTGTGTGTGTGTGTGTACATATAATACATTTCTGAGTGGTGGTGATAGCCTAGTGATGACAATTCTTGCCTCCCACTTGGAAGGTTGAAAGTTCAGTCCTAGGTAGTGGCAGATGTTTCTCTATCAGGGCACAAAGAGAAAATATCTGCTGTGAACTCCATGTGGCATCAGGAAGGGTATCCAGCCAGTAAATGCTCAGCTCCATCCAGTCACCCTGACTCTACCCCAAATTAAGGGATTACAGAGTTTAATATACTAGCTATTTCGATAATAGCAGACCCATCTAATCAGCAAAATGAAAAGTCATAGTTTCAGCCCCGCACTCTCTCTTCTGCCTTTGTTTATCCCCTAGTTTCTCATTATTTTCATTTACTTTTGAATTTTAGATTCTGATAAATTAATTAAAAAATTGAATCATGAAAAGGGAATACCTGCCAAGGCTGCAGAATTTGAAATACGGGTGTCCTTCCAACATTATTTAGTCTCTTATTGGACTGGGAAAAATAAGCTGTGTCTAAGGCCCGTGCCAAGACCCAGACAGCATGGTAAACACGGGAAGTGCCCAGAGATGCAGTTTTTTCAATCTCTTCTTGGGGAAGGGTCCCCACTGCTTGTTTCTCAGTGCATCTTTTCCAGCCTTTCACTGTGGGAGCATCCTTGGAGTATGAGCAGTGAAATGCTTTGTTTATAAAATTATAGAGGGAAGTAAAAAGAGAGAGGAAATCATCAAATTCTATCGCTTTCTTTGTACGGATAAGGAAAGAAAAGAAACCGTGAATGCTTGTATGTGATACAATATCATAAGTCAACTCATATGTGAGGTCCCATAAAGCTGTTGTGACAAAGATCTTCCCTTGGGGGGTTGCGGATTCTGCCACATACGATTTTATGTATACTATCAAGTTTTCGATTAAACTCTCTATTACCATTATTCCATCCATGAAGAAGCCAGGGTCTGAAAAATAAATAAATACATTGACTTCTTTCCACTTCCATATGGAGGCAGCATCAATGTTCACATTAATATTCACATTATCTGTATTCCTCCCTGAAAAGGTTTGTGAGAAAACAACACAAATCCCGTTTTTGAACAGCATTGGCACCAAGGTTCCTATGAAACGCTCCCCATTGTCAGTGTCTGTTGCAAAGAGACCAACCGATGTCCAATGGAAATGCAGGAGCAATTTGAGGATCCCCAAATACTGGATCCCTTCTTTGGGGACCATGGTGTAGAAAAAGGGGAACCGTGTTTTATCGCTCCAAATATGTGTAACAAAAGAGTAGCAGAGCTGGTAAAGAGAAGAAGGAATTGGTGATAGTAGTTTCAGGACAGGATTTCCTAGTGTTTTACTTCCAATCTCCAGTTATAATGAATGCTGTTTTAGATTTTCTAGTCTAGTCTGTTCAGCATAGGTCCCTCTATTTATATTTAGGGTTGATACCATTGTTTTTAAGCTGCTTGACTTCTAAAATCCTTTAGCAATTACCTAAGCATTGGATCCCTGGATATTCTAGCATGCTGTCCTTATAGCATATTTTTTGAATCCTCTGCTGCGACCATCAGCTTTCCTATTCTTGTTGTCAGTTGCGAAGTCGTGTCCAATCCATCGTGACCCCCATGGACAACAGACCCTCCTGGCCTCTACCATCCTCTGGAGTCCATTTAAGCTCACTCCTACTGCTTCAGTGACTCCATCCAGCCACCTCATTCTCTGTCATCCCTTTCTTCTTTTGCTTTCAATATTCCCCAGCATTAGGCTCTTCTCTAGTGAGTCCTTTCTTCTTCATTTGTATTGTGCTAGACTGGGCTTTTGTAATCTCATTTTTCAAAATTTCCCAAGAT